ATTTCCAGGAGAATTTGTCATCAACTATGACACCTAGAAATTTAATTTCATATACTCGTTCTATATTAGCTCCCCCAATTTTTAATTGAAGTTCATTATCTAGTCTACGATTCCCAAACACCATAAATTTAGTTTTATCCAAATTCAGAGATAATATATTACTGTCACACCATTTCTTTATCTTCTCAAGTTCCTGTGTAACCCGTCCAGAGAGTTGCTGTAGGTTTTCACCAGATGCCACACACACTGTACATACCTGAACATACAGTACTTGTGTGCATCAGTATCCAAGGATGGCCACCAAAAGTGGCATTTCAGGAGGGTAATGGTATGGTGAAACCCAGGGTAATAAGCGAATTGAGTGTTGGTGTCCATTGCAGTACCTGGGAGCAAACAGTTTCAGGTACAAACAGCTGGCCAGGCCCTGTACCTGGATTGGGCTGGTCCCTTTGGGCTTCTCTCACAGTTTGTTCAATCTCCCAGGTGATTGCAGCAGTGACACAACAAGAAGGAAGAATGGGCTTGGGGTCTGAGGAGTCATGAGTTGAGCCAAACTGGTGAGACAGAGCATCTGGTTTTGTGTTGCGCGAGTCAGGATGGAAGATAATAGTGAACCGGAAGCGGCCAAAAAATAAGGACCACTGGGCTTGTTGGGAGTTCAACCGTTTGGCAATTTGTAAATAAGCAAGATTTTTGCTGTCTGTCTACACACTCTGTGCCCTCAAGCAAGTGTCACCACTCCCCCAAGGCTAGTTTGATGGCCAGGAGTTCCCTATTACCCACATCATATTTCTGTTCCACAGGACTTAACCGTTTAGAAAAAAAAATGCACGTGGATGGAGGGACTGATCCCTCTCTGACTGTTGTGAGAGCACTGCTCCTACCCCAGTATCAGAGGTGTCTACTTCCACAATAAACTGTTTAGCAGTGTCTGGTTGAAAGAGAACCGCGGTAGTGAACCTTTCTATTAGCTGCTGAAATACCTGTTCTGCTTCCTGTGACCATGTAAATTTGAACAGAGTGGGGGTGTATCTTATCTAAGGTGTGGCTACTGAGCTGTAGTTCAGGATAAACTGGCAGTAGAAGTTAGTGAACCTTAAGAAGTGTTTTAGTTCTTTACAGTTTTTGTGGCGGGGGCCAGT